GTATAACATGGCCGCTATCTCCTTAGCGTCTGATATACCTATGCATTCCTTTTCGAACTACATGCAAAATGTGAATGTAAACTCGATTTCAAGAATTAGTTTTATATTTAGCTCGAAACGCTACAACTCGACTTCGTTGTTCTCACACACAAGACTTGGTCTAGCCTTCAGTGTCCTTTTGGGACGGAAAATCTTCGGATGACTTCAGTGGGTTTTGCTTCCATGGGCATACCATTGCGGTTCATCACTATTTACTGCAGCACTCTAGGCGATCACAGAGCAAAAAATTGACAGCTGTCTATCTCTTTCAAGACCCTGCCGCGCTCTTCATTTTTGTATGGTGGCTCGGCCAATCAATGCACAACTCGTACAGAAATTAAGAGCTTTCTTTCCTTGAATCATTGACCCAATAGCAATTCACTTGGCATTCGCAGCCAAGGAGACTCGGAAATTCTGCGCACACTACCTTGATTTTAATCAAAGCGCTGGTGGATTCACAACTGCTTAGGCTCTCCACAAGCTATTCCGAGAGGGTCTCAAATGGCTCCACTAGCTGCATCATGACCGCATCTGATCGTGAGATAGGCGCAGTTCTCTTGTGCAGTGACCATTGAAGAGATGTGATTTTTTGAATAGTAAAGCTAATAAGGAGGAAAAATCTACACTCCCATCATTTCGAAAAAAGGCCCCAGGAGCAACTCACATAGTCGTACAATGCCGTCGGAATAGATGACGAAAGTATAGACTAGAAACAATGAGAATACAACTGCTCTAGCGATAATCAGTGCCACTGCGAAGCACTTCACATGAAACGCTCCGAAGAAGGCTCGATAGCGATAATGGTTCTCCTAAAACCAGCGACTGACATACAAGGAAAACGAAACGCAGATCACTAATGAGAGGAAACTCAGAAAAAAGTGTGACAACCACTGCCCCACAAAATCACTCTAACTAAGATGAGTGCTTCATCTGTCACTTCAGGCACACCTCTTAGAGCTACATAAGTATTACCAGTGTTCATCGACAAGCTTGAGGCTCAAATTTTATAACAAATTCTGTTGGATAGCGGGCAAACCGTAAGCTAGGCGTTACGGTTGCAACAGTTCTTACGATAAAGGAGAAATTACTACGACGGTTCCGAAAACAGGAAGAGAAATGCTCGACGAAGGGACGGGATCTTTCTTAACGCCACGATTTAAAATTAAGACTGTTAAAGGCGGTTCACGATCAGGTATTGAAATTGAAAATATAGCATCGGGAGGGTGGTGTGGTCCGCGACGATGAACCTTTCACCGGTTTTGCCGCAAAAAGTTAAAAAGGAGGGGCGCTGTACGGCAATATAGTCAGAGTGACTCCTACTCTTCTCCAGTGACTTCGTCTTCAGACTTCGCCTTCAAGCCTTTCAGTGAAAAATGAAGCAGCAGGAGGAAAGAAGCATGAAAATCGCCACTCGTGCGGTCGTTAATATCGGGGATCACCTGTGTGCATAGGTGTGTAGTATTGGAGATGGATTAATCGAGCACCTACGAACTGGGATGGGAATGGGGTTTTATCTAAACATGGCATGTTTTTTCTTTTCTCTTCAATACTGACTTACTCAGAACCTTGTCATCTGTTGTCGTGTTATGTATTTGTCATGTCAGTATTCGAATCCACTATTTGTGATGAAATTGAGCTGGATGATCGCGAGCTTTGCCTTTGAGATACTTCGCCGAGGAGTGTGCTTCCCATGTGGATAGCCTGTACTGTAATTGCCTACCAGTCTAGTGCTTTTTGTGCTCAATGCTCTTTGCCTACTGTTCCGTGGAACTGGCACTGAATGGCATATGACAACTGTTTCTGCTTTGATTAAGGTCGAAAGGGGAAAACCTCGTAAAAGTCGTTAACGAGTGAAAGAAAAGGAGTATTTCGAAAATGTTACCCAAGTCATAAGTCATAACAGAGTCCGACCAGAATCAACAGC